AAAAAAAAAAAAAAAAAAAAAAAAAAAAGGCGATAAAAATTCAAGCCACTCCTCCACAATCCCATTGCCCCAAGATAGTCACTGTGCTGGTGTTTTGCTTTTTAGTATCTTTCTAGATTTTCAGGACAGTGGTTATCAAAATGGTGTCCTCATATACTTATCCTGAAGTCTTTGTTTTTAAGCCGGTAGCCTCGGGCGAACTGGTTTTTTAACCAATGAATGTTCTTCTTCATTACCATGTTGAAATGACTATCGAGAATTCTATGGTGTAAATTCCCAGGTTTTTAGTATCAGTGACTCTCAGCCAGGAATGGTAGCATCCACCCCAGGGAATATTTAGAAAGATGAAGAGGAATTTTTAGCTAACCTAACGGGTGGCTATTGGATTGAGAGCACAAGAACCCAGGGGTGACAGAGATACGACAGTGCACAAGGCAGAAAGACCCAGCCCCAGGGTCAGTATCATCTCAGCCAAGCTGCATTAAACTGGTCCTGGATGGTGGGATATTTTGGTTATTTCCAATCTGGGGACTATTTTTTTTTTTTTAAGATTTTATTTATTTGAGAGAGAGAGAGAGAGGTCACAATTAGGCAGAGAGGTAGGCAGAGAGAGAGAACGGGATGCAGGCTCCCTGCCAAGCAGAGAGCCTGACGCAGGCCTTGATCCCAGGACTCTGAGATCATGACCTGAGCCGAAAGCAGAGGTTTAACACACTGAGCCACCCAGGCACCCCTGGGGACTATTTTAAATAATAGCAGTGAATATCCTGATACAAAAATGTTGGTTCATCCCTTTCCTAAAGACATTCTCCCAGAAGAGGCACTATTTGCCCCAAAATTATGTACAAAAGATTTTTGATACATTTTCCCAAATGTCCCCCAGAAAAGCCCGATCTGCTCTCTCCCAGGGAAGGCAGACATGAACTTGTTCATCAGCAACCCTGGGCAGCAGAACCAGGAATGAACTGAGAGTCTGGAGGCCAATTTCATCCCTTAAAATCCACAAAACCTTAAGCAAGTCATTCAGTTTCTTGGGGTCTCAAGTTCTTCATCTATAAAATGGAAACAGCACCTGCTCTGCCCATCTTCCCTGGGCAGGTCAAGTAAGAGAGTATGTGAAAGTGTGTTCAGCATAAGGGACAATTTCTAAGAGCAGTCATGTCAGAATCGCTTCCCTACTTGGCTGGGAAGGAAAGGGAGCAGTGGGCTCACGACCTCACAGCCATGTGTGGCCAAGGGTTGGGGGGGACTATGTGAGTGACAGGGGCAAGGTGCGTGCGCCTTGGGACGGGGGGATTGTTCCTGGTGGTGAGGAAACACCGGGAAGACCAAACATCCCACATCCACGGGTCAGATCAGGTCTGGAGTCAAAAGTTTTACAACCTCCCTCTTAAGCCTCAATCACACAAGGATTTCTTGCCAAGCAGAAAGAATGTCTTACCCCCCCCCCTTTATTTGTTTGCAGAAATGGGCGTCTCTTAGGGGTGTGCGCCAGTGTGGACAACTGCCGATTGTTTGTGGGGGGAATCCCGAAGACCAAGAAGAGAGAAGAAATCCTAGCAGAGATGAAAAAGGTCACCGAAGGAGTTGTCGACGTGATTGTGTACCCGAGCGCTGCCGACAAAACCAGAAACCGGGGCTTCGCCTTTGTGGAGTACGAGAGTCATCGGACAGCTGCCATGGCCCGAAGGAAGTTGCTGCCAGGTAAGCAGCCCCTCCTCAAAGAGGAAACCCCCCCCCCTCACTGTGCTACCTGCCTGCTGCAGGCCGCTGTGCGCCTGAGAAAAGGAGACAGAGGCTGGGTGTTGTGTGTTTGCTCTTGGGCTTTGCTTCTGGGCCACTTTAAACCCCTTCCCCTTCTCATCTAGGTCACAGTAGCTGCAGCTCCTGGCAGGTTCTGCAGACTGGGTTCTGGAACACAGGCACGGAGGCTAACATTCATGCACTAACCCTGTGATGAAGGGTTGAAGAATATATCCACTGTTTTTCTGCACAGACGTTGTTATGAGGCTTCTAGGAACGGAGTAGATTGTCCGTTATGTTGTAGAGTGACCTATGATCCCGACGACAGCTAAGGGACATGAACTCCTATTAGGACTGCCTAGTGTCTAATATTCTCTAATTTGGGGGTAAAAGAATAGCCCTCCAACTACAACCATAATGTGGGTCCCATTTGGGCAATGCCCTTCAATCCCTGAGTTTTAAGGACTCCACACCAAGGCCCTGGTCAGCTTTAGGGAAATTGTTGAAAATCCTCTGCTCATTCTTAAACATTCACTAAAACTTAGACAAAAGTATTAAGATGAATCAATATTAACATAAGAGGATTTCAAGAATGACAGAGTGGCGACATTGGTATCCACTCTTCTCTTGAACCCCATGGGAGAGCCACCAGAATGAAAGACAAAACCAACAGCACCTAGATTTATATCATATCGTCTCTGTACACAAGCTCACAAACAAACCATGAATGAGGAAGTCACAGGGATGAAAGGTACAGCACGGGGAGATCGTTAATGATATTGTAATAGCATCTTATGGTGGCAGATGGGAGCGACACTTGTGAGCACAGCGTAATGCCCCGTGGGCCAATTGCTAGGTCGTGCCCCTGAGTCTAGTGTAACAGGTGTATGAGCTGTACTTCAACATAAAAGAAAATTTAACCCACTGAGAGGGTAAGCCCTCTAGAAGTTTTCAGAATTGGAAGATGACTTCTGATCTGCGGAAAGATTTATTTTTTATGATTTATTTATTGGGGAGGGCAGGGGCAGAGGGGGAGGTAGAGAATCCCAACCAGACTCCCCACTGAGCACGGAGCCCAATGTGGAGCTTGATCTCAGGACCCTGAGATCTTGACCTGAGCCGAAATCAAGAGTCAGTCGGAAGCTCAACCACCTGAGCCACCCAGGTGCCTCGGGGAAGATTTTTTTATTATTATTTTCATGAAGACAGCTCAAGTGAAAAGATAAGAGATCGCCCCCAAAGTTGCCAAATCCATTAGTGAGATGGGGATTTTTCAGGTTGACGCTTCCCTTCCCTACTCTGCTGCCATCCCATGGTCAGACCCTGTGCTACACAGGCACAGAAAACCCCCGACGCTCCTCCTGAGGTGTCCTTAGCCCCTCGTTGACCCGAATTGTATCTTTGGTATCCTCGCTGACTTGTCCCTCTTCAACGGTTCTGCCATGAAAAAGTCCCTTGGATCCATCCTGATCTCAGACCATCACTGGAGTTGAAAAACATCTACCCAAACCGAGACAGTTTTCAAAAACTCCAGATTATCTCCCAACTCTGTTATCTTTTGGATTACCCCACTCTCTGCCTCCTTCTCGACAAACATCCCCCCCAGATCAGTGTTCCCAAAATACCAGGTCATCCTTTCGACGATTCTGGCCAATAATAGGACTTGGATCTCTCTTGTCGGGCAGGGGGAAGGGGAGCTGAATGGTCCTGCGCACTCATCGGTTCAACAATAATCACCTGCTGGCTTGGGGCAGCGGAGACAGAGGGAAAAACTGAGCCTGTTACTCAAGGCTCCAGTCCTTTCCACACATACTGGCTACCTTCCATTTCCCCACAAAAGCCTTCTTTCTAGCAGGACCAACTCCCCTGTGTTCTAGACAACACCATGCTGATTGGTGTCTCCTTTATTCTGAAAACTGTACCCCCCACCCCAAGAATGACCAGCAGCCTCCCCTCCTCCACGGCCCCATGGCATTCAAAGCCCCAGCTGAGCTGCCCCGGGGCTGAGAAACCAGCCGCCGCTCCCCAGCTCCCACTAACCGCTTCTCCCCATGACTGGTGCAACCAGATACGTGCCATATTTTGGGGGGTCAGGGAGGCTAGCGGTGAGAGAGGGTACAATATGGGAGAAAGATAGCTTTCAGGGGCTAATCAGCGTCCCTAGAGAACCAGAACTTTCGCTCGGCTTCCGCTCTTCCAGGAAAACCGCATACTGACCCACCAAAGAGTTTCTCTCCACTTGAACCGAGCGGACTAGTCCCACCAGGATGGGGTAGCCAGCCCTCAGGAATTCTCTGGAACTTGGTTTTGCCTGCTCCCGAGGCCCTGACTTTTCCTTAGAGATGGTGCCTGCAGGAACCACCGGCATACAGGCCCCCTTGGTCTCCCCAGCCACTGCACCCCTTCGTGAGGACTGAGGCAGCCCCCTTCATCCCCCCTGGAGGGACACTCGACTGAGCTGAGTTTCTTGGGCTGCGCGGGAGTCTCGGGGCGTCCTGGCTGTGGACTGGCCGCGGATCCGCCGGCAGGAGACGACTGCTCGTTCCTGCTGCACCCCGTGAGCAAGACCGACGACCCACTGGGACAGCCTGTTCCCTCACTGTAGATTCAACAGCAGCAAAGGGTTTGGGTCACTGGCAGTTCTCTGGGGAGCCTGGTTGGAAAGCAGGGATCTTTAGCAACCACAATAAGAGCCGCAAGCAGCTTTTCCTTCCTAACCCACCCAGACTTGGAGACAGAGACAACCGCTGTCTAATGAATGTGACGTGTGGGGCCCAGCCACTTACCTCCCTGCCAACAGTGGCCACTGCCTCCCGGCCCTGCGTCCTTCCAGAGGGGTGTGTGTCCCACAGCCCTGGGTGCGGCGTCTACCTCTGAAGCAAGCAGAGCGTGGTAAGGACGCTGCGAGGCAAGTTCTCGCCGTGGCTCCACCATCAGCCAGCGCGGCAGTCACCTGGAGGGCTCGTGAGAGCGCAGCCAGCGTGGTCCCCACCCCGCAGTTCCAGGCTCAGTGGGTCTGGACGGGCACCCGCCATTTGCATTTGTAACGAGCTCCCAGGATGCCATGCTGTGGAGACCCAAGTTCGAGAACGCGAGATCTAAGTCAGCAGCTGTCCGCTGTGGGCTGCAGATGCAAATGATATGAGGAGGTTTTGAAACAATACCAGAAACTAGATCAACCTCTGATCACCTGAATCGGCCTCTCTGGGGCCCTGGTGTTTTAAGTTTTCTAGGTTATTTTGTTGTGTGGCCCGTGTTGTCATTCACTGCTAACTCCATGACTCAGGATACTGGCCATCACCCGAGGGGAGGTTGGTAAGAACGCCTGGAGGAGTAAACAGGAGCCTTTACTACAGTGGGCATTGCTCCCTTCCAAAGGAAATGCTTAAAAAACAAAAAACAAACAACAACAACAACAACAAAATACTATCTATTTCACCTAAAGAGTAACTCTGAAGAAACTATGCCACAAGGAAAGACCAAAAACCCCAAAACGGTCAAGGGAGAGCACATCCCTGGAAAGTGATTAGGTCCCTTACGTACACCATCTTTTATTTCCACGACACTAGGTAGTACTTCCATTATCCCCATTTTGTAGATGAGGAGATCAGTGTTTCGAAAGGTGACTTCCTAGTCAGGATTGTGATCTGACGTTTGAACTTGAACTTCAAAGCCTATGTTCCCAAATCCCTCAGCAGCCCCGACTTCCACGGGGATGTTGAAGGAGATCACTGTTTACCATACCTCCTCCAATTCCGTCCACCGCAGCCTTCTGCAGACCTTCTGGCTGGCCGACGGCCTCCTGCGGTCCCAGACCAGGATGGCAAAGGCCAATGGGCTATAACAGTGTTCTCTGAAAATGTAGCAGTCTAACAGCAAGTGGAAGGGGATTGGGTCCAGCACACCTATGAGTGGGACTCAGGTTGGGTATTTCTTTTTTTTTTTTTTAAAGATTTTATTTATTTATTTGACAGAGAGAGAGATCACAAGTAGGCAGATAGGCAGGCAGAGAGAGAGGAGGAAGCAGGCTCCCTGCTGAGCAGAGAGCCCGATGTGGAGCTCCATCCCAGGACCCTGAGATCATGACCTGAGCCAAAGGCAGCGGCTTAACCCACTGAGCCAGCCAGGTGCCCCAGGTTGGGTATTTCTTAAAGCTCTTCCAAAACGACTCACAAAAAACACACAGAATTTCCAAATTTAGAAATTAAGTTGACCGCCCCTCCCCATGGAGTGATTGTGAGCAGGAACCGAGGTAGCGAATGGAAAACACATTCTATAGGGCAAGATACACAATAAATTGCAACTTCAGGAATCCAAGAATAGACGTAGTCATCACAAAGAGTTCGGTTTCTCATCACAGACCCTTCCATTGCTCTGTCTTCTTGAACACGGTGAAATGTTTTTCTGCAGATTCCCAAGTTATCCATGTGCCATCAGAGAAAGAGGAGGGGGCAGAGCTGATGAGAGCCCTAACGAATGTAAGGGACAGAGAACATACGAGGGGACCCTGTGTCCCCAGTCATTCTTGCCCACACACCAGTTTGTAGCTTGGTGGTGGCCACTGGTCACACAGATCCCAACAGCAGCAGACATACTTCCTACTGATCTTTTTAATGCTTCGTGAAGTCAGACTCTATGTCAGAGCCCTAAATCCATTTTGCCCTTTCTCCCCTTCTGCCACCTCCCTTTCAACGACTATTTTCCTCCCCCTGTGAGAGCTGGAGCTGGAGAACCCAAACCTTCCCATTGCTGCCTCATTTCTGTTGCATTTCAAACCACATCCCAGTTCCCTTTATGCTCCATCATTACGATAAGCCATCTGCCACAGAGAATCCCTTCTACCACCTCTTCCTTCTATTTGGAAGGTTTCCTAAAATCAGTCATCACCTCTTGAATATCAGTCTTCATACTCTACCAAGACCTCAAAACATCGGTTGCATTTAAAAGGCCTTCTCAGCAAATGGAGATGATGATTTCCTGATTTCTGCGTAACTAATCATACTTGTGATCCTTTTGAACAGGAAGGATTCAGTTATGGGGTCATCCTATCGCAGTAGACTGGGCGGAGCCCGAGGTGGAGGTGGACGAGGACACGATGTCCTCCGTGAAAATCCTGTACGTGAGAAACCTGATGCTGTCTACCACAGAAGAGATGATTGAGAAAGAATTCAACAATATTAAACCAGGTAGGACATACCAGAGAAGATGAAGTTTTTGAGATGTACTTTAAAAACACTTGGGCTACCGATGACTTCCCATGACTTTAAACAGAATAGCTTTCCTTTAGCATTCTTCTAATTGCATGTAGACTACAAAAACCATAGACCAGCCCTAGGATTAGAGAAAAAGGGACATATGGTCCTAAAACATTCATTGACATCATTACTCTACAGTTATCTGTGTGATTACTTAATTAACACACAACTTCCTTCACTAAACTGTAAATCCCATGAGGGTTCTTTGGCTTCTGTCATCTCCTCAGCCCCAGTCTCTGGGCCTGGGTCATAGTAGATGCTCAGTAAATATTTACTGTGTTGAGGAATGTATAGCCAGAACTATATCGAAGTCAGGGTTTCTCACCCTCAGTGCTCTTAACATTTTAGGCCAGATAACCCTTGGTCGTGGGGGTTCTGTCCTGGGCATTATAGGAATTTTAACTCTATCCCATACCTCTACCCTTTAGATGCCAGTAACACCCCCCAAGATGTAATAGCCAAAAATGTCTCCAGACATTTACTCTGGAGGGCAAATTTGCCCCCATTTGAGAACCACTGGTTGAATGGAATATGATTGTTACTTCAGCTACATAAATAGGGAGATGAGAATTAATTCCAGGAAACTCATTTGGGTGAGGAGGAAGGGAAAGGAACAGAGGGAGATGGAGGAGGATAATTATTGCTGCTCATCTTGTCAGTACTTTGCAGTATCAGTTTTATATCATGAGATTCAGACCTCATTGCTTTTTTCTCCTGTAGGAACTACGATATTGAGACAGGTTAAGCATTTCAGGAAACAATGTCCAAACGAGAATTTTCCAAAGCCAGTTCTGCAGAACATTAATTCTGTGGACACTTAGTAGATGCTACTGATAAAAGGGGTCCATGGTCAAATAAATCCATAAACACAGATTCAGGACAATTAAACAGATTTTTTTTTCATTGCAGAACTTATCCGAGTCCTTAACCTTCTAATGTGCTTTGAAAGTCTCCAAAGGGAAATGTAGGATGGCTCCTTTCCCAAATTTTTCGACCATGGGTCTCTTTTTGGCCAACCATCTTGTGGAATTAACATGTTTGGGAACACACTCTGGCCTAAGTTTATCACTATGATAAAATTTTTCCACTTTCATGGCACAAGTCACCCTAGGATGTAGGTTACTGCGGCACTTCCATTACTGTAAAGGTGGGAAAACCAGAACACAGAGCAGTTACATTGCTTCCTCAGGGTCATACAACTATTAAGTGGCAAATCCCAGATTTGAATCCAGGTCTGGCTAAGACCACGTTCTTAGCCACTTGGAGATCTCCCTGTCCCATCCTCATTCCTCTCACTCACTCATTCATTCAACTATCATCACTTTAGTAGCTCCTATGTGCCAGGCACTGTGGGAGGAGTGAACAGATGTAATGTATGTGTGGAAGGAGTTTAAGATGTTCCAGAAGAGTGGACACACACACCCCCCTCCAGTGACTTAGCCAGTTAAGTGTCCAACTCTTGAATTTGGCTCAGGTCATGATCTCAGGGTTGTGAGATTGAGCCACGCATCAGGCTCCACGCTCAACAGGGAGCCTGTTTGAGATTCTCTTTCACCTTCTCCCTCTGCACCTCCCACCCCCACCCTGCCCAGCTAAATGATACTCCAGAAGAATAACAGCCATGACAGCCTACCCTTGGGGCACATGTAAGATTCATGTTTAAGAGAAGTGACTTGTGAGCTAAAAAAAATTAGAGGAATATACAGGGTAAAGCTTCTTGACACTGGATTTGGCAACAAATTCTCTGACCGTATTAAAAGTCCAGGCAACAAAGAAAAAATAGATTAATTGAACTACACCCAAATTAAAAACTGCACCAGAGGACACTCTCAACACTGACAAAGCAACCCACAGAATGGGAGAAAACATCTGCAAACAATATATCTACCAAAAATTAAATAAAAATTCCAATGTACATTTGTCCAATGAACAATGTTGTGCGATTGCTGTAGACACAAGGTCAACACTCACATTAAAAGATGTTCAACGTCACTCGTTATTCACCTGGGAAATGCAACTCCAAAACATTGCCCACTGGCCAAGATAACAATCGCAGTAGTAGTAGCGATCATCAAAGATGACATAGATGCTGGGAGAAGTTGGAGCAGAGAGAACCACGTGCCCTGTATATGGAAATACAAAATAACGCCATCACTGGGGGAAACGACACCCTGGGTCCTGAAGAATAGATAATCATGGTGGCTACCCAAGGACAGGGGAGAAAGGACTCAGAAATGATTATTTAATAGATCCAGGGTTTCAGTTTTGGTTCACGAAGAGGTTCTAGAAACGCATGGTGATGACAGTTGCAAAATATATATCTCCCTTTTATCTAATTAAAACATTACCATTTTGCTTTGTTCTGTTTTTGCTTTTTGGAAAAAGCTGGAATGAGAAATGACTCAAAGACTGCTTCCTGTCCTAGTCCCCTGGTCATCAGTTTATCCCATTAAAGGGAGACATGAGCTCGTGTCGTCCTAGTTTATAGTGAAAATAATAAATGCAGGCTCTCTCTCCCTCTCTCCTCCTCTCCTCCTCTGGTGGCACAACTCAGGGCTCTATAGTGATGTGTGGCTGCTTCTTGGCACTCCACAAAAGAATATAAACTATAGAGGGTAGAGGACTAGCAGACACCTGCTGTATTAGGAAGAAAAAGTCAGAGCTGACTAGTTTATTTTCCAGTGGAAAGGGTGTGTTTATACTTACCTAGGAAAATTTCCAGAGAGAATAGGAAAATAACCCCTTAAAAACCGTATTGAAAGTTTGGATCCCTCAAAGGAGCCTAAATATTCCTGGCAAATATTTGACCCTATTATTTTAACCCTGATTAACCTAAAAATACTCTACTGACATTCAGAGAAATAACTGACAATCAGAACAGAAACTGGGGCTGAAAACCTGTTTTTCCCCTGTGTAGCCTAAGGCTATCTGCTGAAATTCCAATTATAGTCATTCTACAAAATCTGATTTCCCTAAAACAGTTTCACATCCAAATCACCAAGAGGGCATAAAACAGATTGCGGGCTCTTCCCCCGGGTGTTTCTGAATCAGTGGGTCCAGGGTGGGGGTTGGGGAGGCCGGGCATTGGCATTTCTCCTGAGTTCCGGGGGGGGAACTGAAGCTGCTGCTCTGAGAACCATGGCCTTCGGATAGCAGCGTGTTTCTCATCGGGTAATTGATGCATTGCTGACAAGTGGATCATGAATTGAGTAATATTTTTGCAGTTCCCTACGTTACGACTTTAGAGTCTTTTACTTCGTTGCTGATGATGACCGCTGTTATTTTATGGCTTCTGCCCTCTGCCAAGTAATGATCCATCAGTAAACAAACTCCTACAGACTGAAGAAGGGCCATACCATCATAAGCCACGTGGTGAACACTATTGTAGGGAAAACCATGCTCCCTTTCTAACTTGTTTCATGAGGCTAGATCTTCATTCATTAAGATTTCCAAAGTCAGGTGCAGCTGAACAGCCTAGCTTAAAAATCCAAGCCAGGTTCGTTACCTGCGAGCAGAGCTGGGGGACATTTAGATCCGTAACCACCCGAAATGCCACCTAACGAATATGAGTGCTGGAAGCTGGAGCGTGAATTGACTGGTAATATTTGCTCTTCCCATGTATTATTTGTAGAGCAGCCTCTACACACACGGTACTAGGTAGGACCTGGTGATGATAATACCAGGACGCCCCTAAACCAGATCCTGTTCTCAGGGGGCTAACGGTCAAGAGGAGCCTTGATGAATGACAGCACTGAAGAATGAATGGAGCCAAGACTGGAAAGATAGAGACCCTCATTGGCCTCCCCTTTCACTTCTCAATGACCAGGATAAGCCATGGGGTTAGGTCATGGTAGTTACCCTACCCGACCCTGAAGGACTAAAGAGACGGTGCTGGAAGGTCGGTTAATTCCACGTCCCCTGCTTCACGGTCTCAAATACCTTCATGTACTTCCTTAGCCTCACCAGACAGTCGTGCCTTGGACAATGACTGCCATAAGAAGTCAAGGGTTGAACGCTGAGGGACGAGAGGATTACCCCAGGTTTTTCAATGTCCCTGCATTACAGCCCTGCCATCATTCCAAAAGACAACTTACAGCCGTCCAACCATTGTGGGAGAGTAAAAAGTCAAATTGCCTTTGTGATCTTGAATCTAAGAGGATAGATAACTGAACCTTGATAGGCGAGGACAAAGGAGAAACCTTATCTGCTCTTCTCGTCCATTCCTAGGGAAGGGTCCCATCGTAGGTTCTGTGTGGTGACTAGGATAAGAGAAGGAATCCAGTCTCTCGAGACACCCCGGAGTCAGAGTCACTAAAAGACAACTGGGGGCGCCTGGGTGGCTCAGTGGATTAAAGCCTCTGCCTTCAGCTCAGGTCATGATCCCAGGGTCCTGGGATCAAGCCCCGCATCAGGCTCTCTGCTCAGCAGGGAGCCTGCTTCCCCCTCTCTCCTCTCTCTCTGCCTGTCTCTCTGCCTACTTGTGATCTCTGTCTGTGAAATAAATAAAATCTTTAAAAAAAATTTAAAAAAAATGACAATTGGCATGCTAAACAGTTAACTGCTAACAAGTTACACAAGTGTCCATTTCACCTTCACTCCAAGAAGAATAACTTACTCTTGAGACTGTGTAATCAACAATATTCTCTAGCAACATTTTAATAATAAAATGTAAGTTTCAACTGTTCTGGTAAAACTTTTTTTTATACATGTTACCATCAACATATGCAGCAGTTCCTCTATATAAAAATAGATTAGGTTGATTTGTTATTTTTTTATTACACAAATAATAAGCATTGCAAATTTTTGCAAAATACCAAGGCATATAAATTAAAATATGAAATTTCCCTTTATTCTCTCCAAATTTTCTCCCCATTCCTGAAGTAATCTCTATTTTAACAGTTTGGTCTCTGTCTTTCCAGTTCTCTTTCTGTGTGTATATCCTTATTTATGTGTGCACATATGTGGGTTGGGATTTTAAAAACATAAATGTTAGAGTATTATACTTATTATTTTACAAACTTTTAAAATATAACAATAGGTCTTAAAGCTTTCCACGTAAGTATACATAGGTCTATTTGTTCTTTTTTTTTTTTTTTGAAGATTTTATTTATTTATTTGACAGACAGAGATCACAAGTAGGCAGAGAGGCAGGCAGAGAGAGAGAGGAGGAAGTAGGCTCCCCACTAAGCAGAAAGCCAGAGGCGGGACTCGATTCCAGGACCCTGAGATCATGACCTGAGCCGAAGGCAGAGGCTTTAACCCACTGAGCCACCCAGGCGCCCCCTATTTGTTCTCTTTAAATACTCACATTATTTGATATGAATGTATTGGGTATAATCAATCTCATGAGAATGGACTTTGAGTGGTTTTATTTTTGCTATTTTAACAGCGGTAAAGTTATGTCTTTATGCTGATCCTTTTGCTTCTCTAGCACTCCAGGGGTGCTTCTATAAAAGACATTTCTCAAGGTAGAGTTAGTGGATATCTACATTGTTTCCAACATTTAAATATTATGAACAGCATTGCAAGGAACTTTCTTGGTTTTCTGATATTCTTTCAGAAGCCACTTTTTTATAAAACATATAATGTACTATTTGTTTCAGGGGTACAGGTCTGAGAATCTTCAGTCTTACATAATTCACAGCACTCACCATAGCACATACCCTCCCCAGTGTCCAGAATTACTTTTTTTTTTAATCAAAAGAACATCAGATAAGCAGTTAAGAAATCTGCATTCAGGTTCCTGGTGGCGTCAACTCATGAATCTCACTTTCCTTGTCAGAACCCTAGGTTCCTAATCTAAGTTAAAAATACTTACATTAAGGCCAAATAAATTTTTTAAAAAGCTTAAAGTAAATCATCACTAAAGTCTTTCCTAATTCTAAAGTTTTAGTCCATAAATCAAAAGATAAAACATTTTTCTGGGGAAAAGCCATAAAATTTTAAAAGGTAATCGCCTAAGTAGAGATTAATAGGATGTCCAGTAGTTAACTTCAAATCAATTCAATGAATATTTCCCTGAGTATAAGTTACTATCTTTTACATTTTATGCCAGACAAAGTAAGATAGTACTTCTATCCTTAAGGATCTTATAACCTAGGAAGTGGGAAACACAATCCATAACTAACAATAAGGCAGAATATAGGGCATGTTAAAAAAATACAAATAAAACTTCTGTTGGATGTGTTGAATTGTAAACCTGGACCTAGTGAATATTCTCACTAAGAGCTTAGCTAAGTAGTGAGTCTCCCGAAAAAAAAAATCAAATCATTCTCAGGGCTTTCTTGGTTTTTGCTAATGGGGCTACTCTCCATTTCTAGGTGCTGTGGAGAGAGTAAAGAAGATTCGAGACTATGCTTTTGTGCACTTCAGTAATCGAGAAGATGCAGTAGAGGCTATGAAGGCTTTAAATGGGAAGGTAAGGTAGGACAACACGTACACACACACACACGCACACACACACACACACACACAGGTTTCACCCAAGTGTGTTGCGTAAATTTTATTCAGAAGAACAATCCCTCAAGTCTGTGTCCCTCAGGCTTTCTCCACTTCTGACAAGACTGCCTGGGTCCATCAAAGATGAACACAAGAGAAGTGACAGAAACACAGTGCAGATGTGGCTCATGTGTCTGGCTCTATCTCTAATTTGGGGTGATTTGAACCAAGTCCCTGGCTCTCAATTTTCCTACAAAGTGGGTGATTGGAGTACATTATTTCAAGGCATTTTTCTCAGGCTCGGTTTTCTCTCATTACTTCAAGAGATTATCACCTCATTACTGCAGTATTTTGGAGGTTGAAGACCAGAAAACAGGCCAATTCTGTTGTCATTCTGCCCTCAGAGTCTGCCTTTCCTACTCTGGAAGGCTCTGGGTCTCTTCCCCTTGCCAAGAGCGGGGTAGGGGAAAATTAGCTTCTAAAAGCCTTTCTCCTGACTTGTACATAGAAACCAAGATCATATTTACTTGTCAATGCAATAAACATTAAAATCTTTCTATAGACCACTTACTTTGCTAAACAATGTCTGGGACAAAAAAAAAAAAAAAAAGATACTTGTCACCAAGGTAGAAGTCTACAGAGGAATAGAACGGGTCCACAAACGTCTTTCATAGTTCAGCCAAATAAGTTCAGTTTCATTACATTTATAGATAGAGAGGTGAAAAAGTCCGAAGGAATCAGTAAATCTTCATGGAGATGAGATGGTGGTATCCATGAGAAGCGATAAAAGTTGGACAGAATTCCCAAAGGGAAAAACCGCAGAAATGGAGAGGCAATCTCAGAGACACGGAATTTGGAAAAAGCAGGAGATGACTGAGGAACAGTGAAAATTGACCGATTCGGTTAGAACATCACGCACGTAGGGCCGTGTCGCCTGTCTGGCTTTGCACAGTTAGTCCTAACGGCAGACAGATGGTGAAGGGACTAAGAACAGAAGGGTGAGTGTTGGGGAGGGAACTCAAGAGAGGTGGAACCTAAGCTCAGAGCACCACCAGAGTCAAGGCAATGGGGTGGGGGGCAAGAAATGTAGTGGAAGCCTCACGGAGAGAGGGCTGTGTAGAGCAGGTCTCCTTAGGAGAAGTAGGGATCTTTGGCCACAGGACACAGCCAGGGGCTAAGGGAGCACCTCTGGAGCAGGTCCTTTAGTCACACGTGGCTGGGTTTAGGAGCCAATCATACGTTTGGGCCCTGGAGGAAAAAAAAAACACACACACTGCCTCCAAAACACGAAAACTGTAAAGCAAAAATTGAATGCAAATTTAAATACATGTCCATGAAGCAAAACATGATTTAGTCTTCATTGGTGATTACATTTAGTATCATAAAATTGTTACTACCTTGAAAACAATCTGTAGGTTCATTTCTCAATTTGAAAACATTCCTGAGGATACATGACAATTGCTGAGAAGGGACCATCAGTCATAAATTACGTGCTAAATAATTACACTGAAATAATCACAATGGAAAAATATTCAAATAGTTCCCAGTTCTTACAGTTAGATATTTTTACAGCAATGTGTATATATCATGAGGTTAAATATATATTCAATATCTTAAAATATGTACCAAATATTATATCTAACTATAATGTTGTATGGGAAAATGAAAAGTAAGTTTGCCTAGGAACTTTGTAAGGCTTGAGTATACAAATGCATATTAATAGTTGACCTATTAGACAGGGTGAGACTCAAAAGCTTTTTGTGTATTGGAGTAATTATCACATAAAATTTAGGGAAATGAATGTACTAAGAGTTGCAATTTTATGGAGTAGGAAGAGAGGTATCATTGGAACTTTCTGAAAAGCTATTACAGTCACGCAAATAGGAAGAAATAGGGCTTGATCAAGGGCAGGAATACAAAGTAGGAGAAAGCGCCACACAGGGCTATGGGGGATGAATTCAAAACACCCAGGAAATGACTGGATGTTGAAGTGAGCAAGAGTCATTGGTTTTCAATATGGGAGACCAGGATGACATGGTCAGGGAAGGCAGGAAAGGAAACCTATTTAGAGAGAAAGTTGATGAACTGAGCTTTGCATTTGATTGTTCATTTGTTCTGGAAATCCTTGTGGATGTCTGTGATGTACAAGGAATTTTGCTGGGCTTGGGGATACACTGATTAATAAGATGTCGTCCTATCTCTTGAAACATCTAGACCAAAAAAACTAAAATACAATAGTGAGTTTAAAACACTATTACAGGGACAGATAAATGCAGTACAAAATCTATTACAACACTAAATCTGACTTTGCAGTAAAGAAACATTCCATTAAAAATATCTCTTAATATGGAAGGACCTAGAAGCAGAGATCTATTTGGGTGTCTCACCTTCCTCTAGACAGGACTGAAGATAAATTTTTTTTATTATTTTTTATTTTTTTAATAAACATATAATGTATTATTAGCCCCAGGGGTACAGGTCTGTGAGTCGCCAGGTTTACACACTTCATAGCACTCGCCATAGCACATACCCTCCCCAATGTCCATAACCCCATCACCCTCTCCCTACTCCCTTCCCCACGGCAACCCTCAGTTTGTTTTGTGAGATTAGAGTCTCTTATGGTTTGTCTCCCTCCCGATCCCACCTTGTTTCATTTATTCTTTTCCTAGCTCCAAACCCCTCATGTTGCATTTCCACTTCCTCATATCATGGAGATCATATGATAGTTATCTTTCTCTAATTGACTTATTTTGCTAAGCATAATACCCTCTAGTTCCATCCACATCATCTCAAGTGGCAAGATTTCATTTCTTTTGATGGCTGCATAGTATTCCATTATATATATATACTACTTGAAGATAAAAATTCTTATATGTAAGACCTCTCTGTTCCTTTGGACACTCAGATCTGTTTCTTCTAATAACATCGACACCAGTGTGAGATAGTTGAATTTCATCAGGATTCTCTCTCCCAATGTATTCCAGCTAATATGTTAAATACTGGCTCCTGCTCCTAGAAAATCAGGCTGATATATGAAACTAAGAACAAGTGACAACCGGGAAGCACAACTTTGGCCAGCAAACCTCAATGGTCTCAGAATCACTGAGCACTCACAAAATGGCGAGCAGCCATGACAGGGAATTCTGGAGGGAATGCTTCATATTACTTGCTTTGTTTATAAAAATAGCTAGCTTATACTAGTCTTACACAGAAGAAGCTACACCTTGTCCCATCAATAAGAACCACCTCAATCCTTCAAGCATTTGTTGAGAGACATCTTTGACTCTTAGGTACACAAGCCGTATGGAAAAGTGAGTCATGCGTGTAGCTCTCCCCACAGCCCTTCCTGCCAATATCTGGATCTGTTTGCAAACTGTCCAAAACTTGCATTAGGAAAACAAACAAGAAAAACCTCTCCAATAATCCTTGAGGACAAGTTTTAAGAACTGTGTGACTTGAGAAATCTCAGTACTGCCCCTGCCATCCCAGCCAGTTCCCACCTCTTTTAAGCCTGTCTTCTCTTCCAGTGAAAACTTACCTTTCAAGTGGTTGCTCTAAGGAGTAAATCATCTAGCTGGCAGGTGGCCCAAAAGATCTGACAATGCTATCCCTGCCACAGTGTTAACAATCGACAAGATTTCCTTACTGGTTTCCTACCAACTTCCCTGTGCTGTGCTAAGTAGTAGACATTATATTCCACCCATTATTAACCTAAAATTTCTTAAAATTATGTAATATGTAACTTAAAACATATATCACATAAAACTTTCACATAATTCTCTGTCACAGGGACTGTATCACATAATTTACAACCTGAATGTCAGGGTTCGGTGCCCAGTTTGTTCCCATCAAAACTGTCACATATTATATGCAATTTTCCAACAAAACCACTCAGGAAAACTCAACTGGCACATGAACATGAACCCATGAAGAGACAAGATATGTATAAGTGAGACCGTGACCAGACCATCAAATTGACTAACACCCAAGAGACCAGGGCTCAGGCACAGTTGGCTGTCTTTATATCTTCCCATATTCCTTCTTCTTTGTTCTCTACGACAGGTGCTGGATGGGTCCCCCATTGAAGTGACGCTAGCCAAACCAGTGGATAAAGACAGTTACGTTAGGTACACCCGAGGCACGGGTGGAAGAGGCACCATGCTGCAAGGAGAGTACACTTACTCTCTGGGCCATGTTTATGATCCCACCACAACCTACCTTGGAGCTCCTGTCTTCTATGCTCCTCAGGCCTATACAGCAATCCCCGGCCTTCATTTCCCAGCCACCAAAGGACACCTTGGCAACAGGGCCATTATCCGAGCCCCTTCTGTTAGAGGTAATGCTCATCAATTCTTGCTCTAGAATAACTCTACAATTTCAAATGATGTGTATTGCCACAGCCTTAGACAAATGGGATGGACCCACTGGGAGAAAAGGACTGGGAAATCATTTATGAAAAATCAAGAATTATTATATCAGTAGTTGTCCTTCCATAAAAATCTTTTTTCACATTACAACTGGTTATTGAAAAAACTTGGTCAGAACATAGCACAAATGGGTCTAATGCATACATTTGATCGTTGTCTGGGCCCATAAAATTTGTGCAGACTAAGTAGTTAGCTTCTCCCTTATCACTGGACCACCATACTGCAGTCATATGGGACTCATTAGAAAACCCAAGTGAAAGCAGGATGGTCCAATGGAAACCAATTATCTCAAATAGCAAAAAACAGGTCAAGGCACATGTATATTTGAGTGTAACTCAGTGGCATCAAATTCATACATAATCACAAAATATCATACGTATTCTAACAGATATAAGAGATACTTTCAGCTGACCTCGCCCCAGAAATACATGCTGTGCCTTCTAAAAGGCCACACTGTCAAGAAAATCAACCTATTTCTCCAGGATATGGGGAACTAAATAGTAAAGTCCAAATAGAAGAAAGACTGACTACCAAACAATAAATCTTTCCTATATAAACCTACAGAAATTCCAAGTGTTCACCCAGTTCTCTGGGCTCAGTTCAAATAATATAGACATTAAGGAAAGCATTTTTATTTTGAATAAACTACCTTGTCTCTGCCTAATGGGATCCTTCTGAATGGTTCTGCTAGGATAGAGTTAATGCCAAAATAATGCCAGTTCTATCTTCCAAATAGGACACCATTCTGGGCAATTTGGCAATGAGTTGTATTTAACTCTATCCTTGGGTTTTACTTAGAAGCAAAAGGGCATATCCAGATAACTGTGAAAACAATTATCTTACTGTGTTTTGCTATTTTTCAGGAAAACTGAATTGACCATCCTAGAAGCTCTAGTCTTCAACAGCCTTAAAAGTTCCATAATCATAATAAAATCACTCCACCCAAAATTATAATCATCAGGTTTTCCTCCAGGATATTTCTCTATGTGATAACAAATTATGGCATTGAAGTATTGTGCATTTATAATCTGAAATCATATTGTTAAATAATCCATACATTAAATATAAATTGTCAACCAGTTGTAATGTAGGAAAAAAAAATTTTTCACTCTAAGGGGAAAAACATCTTATAACAAGAAAGGAATCAAAGAATGATATTCATGGATGAAGGGTAATCAATTTAAATTTTTTATCACTTTACACCACCAATAGGAAATCAAAGTAGTAACATGGCAAAACAAAAAATCAAAAGGAATCTACTAATGAAACTCAGTGGAAATAAAAGCCTCAAATTGTCCAAACATAAAACAGAAAATAGTGAACCAATAAACATGGTTTCTAAATGGTCAATGTTTCCCAACCGATCATTGGGGTTGGGATTATTGGGGAAGCTAGAATTCATTTCTGATCTACTGATCAATGATAAAAAATGCAAGACTTATTTTAATACATGTGGTCATACCATGCTGGGATGTTTAAATACCTTCCCAACATTTATTAGTCTATAGAGAAATGTCAACAAAAGGTCAAGTGAAGATAGAAATTACAATTTTTTTCTCTGGGCCAAAGTTTTAAAGTTGCTCATGTATTTATCAGTAGCTTTGACAATATGGCTTTCTTCCACAGATTTAAAAAACAAAAACAAAAACCAAGACACTTACTATGAACTCTATATTGAGTTTCATTACATTAGAATCCTAGAGTTTTCTATGCATCTTGAGGGCAATGATCAATGTGACTTGGGCTAACTTTTCCATTACAGTAAGATTCAGGGTGATCTTCTGGTGGTTTGATTCAGTTTAATGCCTTCTTACATTCCTAGAAATTTACATGAATGTACCTGTAGGGGCCGCGGGAGTGAGAGGACTGGCCGGCCGGGGCTATTTGGCCTATACAGGCCTGGGTCGTGGATACCAGGTCAAGGGAGACAAGAGAGAAGACAAACTCTATGACATGTTACCTGGAATGGAGCTCACCCCAATGAATCCTGTCACTTTAAAACCCCAAGGAATTAAACTTGCTCCCCAGGTAGGTAATGTTATTCCAGAGATAAGTTTCCTTCTGTTGGGCCAAAGACCATCCACATTTGCCTTTCATCAAATGATCTGACTTGATCCCTCCTTGGGCTATTGTTTGGTTTGGTTGGGTTAAAGAGGTCAAGTGGCCAATCAGCATAACATACAGTGAGAGAATGCTGCCCCTTGAGGGCCACTGTTCCATCACAGGCTTTCTTCTATTTCCTAAATAATCTGAACAAAATGGAATGTGAGGATTCTGAGAGCTATTAAGAATTTTCAACTGATATCTTAAATGAAAATAAAATGAAGCAAAGACCCTATTTCAAAATAAACACCTGCTCTGTAGGAGTTGGCTAATGGGGAGTATCATGACAGGAAATGAATAGGACACTTAGGACATCTTCTATGGGAAACACTGTGTGAGAGAAAACATCATACCACCCCTGGTGATGTTGTGACTTGTATTAACGATAAGATGCCATCGGTCATATCCCATTAGGTCTCCCACAAGGATTTTGTCTGGGGAAGGACATGATGGTGACTTTGTAATGCTTTCATTCCACAGCCCCGAGTTTCCATGTTTCCACATGAGGCTGTGGTTTTTATTATTGGAAAATTAGAAGTTATAAAAGCTGTTCCAGGGTGGAAAGTGAATAACAGGGTTAAAAATAAAACAAAACAGGATCTATGTGAACCCTGAGCCTGTTGCCTGGGGCTGTGCAGTCTATGCCAGGCTCTCTGTAGAGACACTGGCTGAGGAACCGATGCCAGTTGTTCAGAGATACAGTTAGGGGATCCCAAAGGAAACATCCTTACTCCAGCCCCAAAGGGGTAAGCCCCAAATGCACGGAAGTAGCCTTCTGATTGTGATCAAGCAGAAAGCATGGTTTTCTAAAAGCTCATCCTATTATTTTTGTAGGATCAATCGGGATCTTGTACATACAGATTAGTTCATCTAAGGTTTCTGCTAACCCTACCCAGTCAATTAAAAATAAGGATGCCTAGTAGAGTGGCACACAGCACTCATTTCTTTGATCAAAAACCATCTATTGGGAGGAGTCAAGATGGCGGAGAAGTTGCAGGCTGAGACTACTTCAGGTAGCAGGAGATCAGCTAGATAGCTTATCTAAAGATTGCAAACACCTACAAATCCAACGGGAGATCAAAGAGAAGAACAGCAATTCTAGAAACAGAAAATCAACCACTTTCTGAAAGGTAGGACTGGCGGAGAAGTGAATCCAAAGCAACGGGAAGACAGACTGCGGGGGGAGGGGCCGGCTCCCGGCAGGCAGCGGAGCAACGGAACACAAAATCAGGACTTTTAAAAGTCTGTTCCGCTGAGGGACATCGCTCCAGAGGCTAAACCGGGGTGAAGCCCAAGCGGGGTCAGCGTGGCCTTAGGTCCGGCAGGGTCACAGAAGGATCGGGAGGGTCTGAGTGTCACAGAGCTTGCAGGTATTAAAATGCAGAAGCCAGCTACAGAGACAGAGCCTAGGAGTGAGCTCTCAGCTCGGGGTTACCTTGAACTGGTCGCAGGCTCGGTGAGCTCAGAGCGTGGCCAGAGGCCAGGGAGACGGGAGTAATTGGGTGATGTTCTCTGAGGGCGCACTGAGGAGTGGGGCCCCGAGCTCTCGGCTCCTCCAGGCTGGAGACTGGGAGGCCGCCATCTTCACTCCCATCCTCCAGAACTCTACGGAAAGCGCTCAGGGAACAAAAGCTCCTGAAAGCAAACCCGAGCGGATTACTCAGCCGGGCCCCTGATAACGCCGGTGCAATTCCGCCTGGGGCAAAGACACTTGAGAATCACTACAACAGGCCCCTCCCCCAGAAGATCAATAAGAAATCCAGCCAGGACCAAGTTCACCTACCAAGGAGTGCAGTTTCAATACCAAGGAGAGCAGCGGAATTTCAGAGGAGGAGAAAGCAAAGCATAGAACTCATGGCTTTCTCCCCATGATTCTTTAGTCTTGCAGTTAATAATTTTTTTTTTCTTTTTCAATTTTTTTTCTCTCTTCTTCTGCCAAATTTTTTTTAACTTTTACCCTTTTCTTTTTTTTAAGGTGTTTTAACTAGATTACCTAATATATACATTTTTTTTCTTTTTTATATTTTTTCTTTATTCTTTTTTTTTTTTTTTCTTATTGAACCTCTTTTTATCCCCTCGCTCCCCTCTCACGATTTGGGATCTCTTCTGATTTGGTTAAAGCATATTTTCCTGGGGTCTTTGCCACCGTTTTAGTATTTTACTTGCTCCTTCATATACTCTTATCTGGACAAAATGACAAGGCGGAAAAATTCACCACAAAAAAAAGAACAAGAGGCAGTACCGAAGGCTAGGGACCTAATCAATACAGACATTGGTAATATGTCAGATCTAGAGCTCAGAATGACGATTCTCAAGGTTCTAGCCAGGCTCGAAAAAGGCATGGAAGATATTAGAGAAACCCTCTCAGGAGATACAAAAGCCCTTCCTGGAGAAATAAAAGAACTAAAATCAAAACAAGTTGAAATCAAAAAAGCTATTAATGAGGTGCAATCAAAAATGGAGGCTCTCGCTGCTAGGATAAATGAGGCAGAACAAAGAATTAGCGATATAGAAGACCAAATGACAGAGAATAAAGAAGCTGAGCAAAAGAGGAACAAACAGCTACTGGACCACGAGGGCAGAATTCGAGAGATAAGTGACATCATAAGACGAAACAACATTAGAATATTGGGATTCCAGAAGAAGAAGAAAGAGAGAGAGGAGCAGAATGTATATTGGAGAGAATTATTGGAGAGAATTTCCCCAATATGGCAAAGGGAACAAGCATCAAAATCCAGGAGGTGCAGAGAACCCCCCTCAAAATCAATAAGAATAGGTCCACACCCCCTCACCTAATACTAAAATTTACAAGTCTTAGTGACAAAGAGAAAATCCTGAAAGCAGCCCGGGAAAAGAAGTCTGTAACATACAGTGGTAAAAATATTAGATTGGCAGCAGACTTATCCACAGAGACCTGGCAGGCCAGAAAGAGCTGGCATGATATATTCAGAGTACTAAACAAGAAAAACATGCAGCCAAGAATACTATATCCAGCTAGGCTATCATTGAAAATAGGAGAGATTAAAAGCTTCCAGGACAAACAAAAACTGAAAGAATTTGCAAACACCAAACCAGCTCTACAGGAAATATTGAAAGGGGTCCTCTAAGCAAAGAGAGACCCTAAAAGTAGTAGATCAGAAAGGAACAGAGACAATATACAGTAACAGTCACCTTACAGGCAATACAATGGCACTAAATTCATATCTCTCAATAGTTACCCTGACTGTTAATGGGATAAATGCCCCAATCAAAAGACACAGGGCATTAGAATGGATAAAAAAAAAAAAACAAAAGCCATCTATATGTTGCCTACAAGAAACTCATTTTAAACCCGAAGACACCTCCAGATTTAAAATGAGGGGGTGGAAAACAATTTACCATGCTAATGGACATCAGAAGAAAGCAGGAGTGGCAATCTTTATATCATATCAATTAGATTTTAAGCCAAAGACTATAATAAGAGATGAGGAAGGACACTATATCATACTCAAAGGATCTGTCCAACAAGAAGATCTAACAATTCAAATTTCTATGCCCCTAACGTGGGAGCAGCCAACTATATAAACCAATTAATAACAAAATCAAAGAAACACATTGACAATAATACAATAATAGTAGGGGACTTTAACACTCCTCTCTCTGAAATGGACAGATCATCCAAGCAAAAGATCAACAAGGAAATAAAGGCCTTGAATGACACACTGGACCAGATGGACATCACAGATATATTCAGAACATTTCATCCCAAATCAACAGAATACACATTCTTCTCTAGTGCACATGGAACATTCTCCAGAATAGATCACACCCTCGGTCCTAAATCAGGTCTCAACCGGTATCAAAAGATTGGGATCATTCCCTGCATATTTTCAGACCACAATGCTCTGAAGCTAGAACTCAATCACAAGAGGAAATTTGGAGAGAACCCAAATACATGGAGACTAAACAGCATCCCTCTAAAGAATGAATGGGTCAACCAGGAAAGTAAAGAAGAATTGAAAAAATTCATGGAAACAAATGATAATGAAAACACAACGGTTCAAAATCTGTGGGACACAACAAAGGCAGTCCTGAGAGGAAAATACATAGTGGTACAAGCCTTTCTCAAGAAACAAGCAAGGTCTCAGGTACACAACCTAACCCTACACCTAAAGGAGCTGGAGAAAGAACAAGAAAGAAACCCTAAACCCAGCAGGAGAAGAGAAATCATAAAGATCAGAGCAGAAATCAATGAAATAGAAACCAAAAAAACAATAGAACAAATCAACGAAACTAGGAGCTGGTTCTTTGAAAGAATTAATAAGATCGATAAACCCCTGGCCAGATTTATCAAAAAGAAAAAAGAAAGGACCCAAATAAATAAAATCATGAATGAAAGAGGAGAGATCACAACTAACACCAAAGAAATACAGACAATTATAAGAACATACTATGAGCAACTCTACGCCAACAAATTTGACAATCTGGAAGAAATGGATGCATTCCTAGGGACCTATAAACTACCACAACTGAACCAGAAAGAAAGAGAAAGCCTGAACAGACCCATAACCAGTAAGGAGATTGAAACAGTCATCAAAAATCTCCAAACAAACAAAAGCCCAGGACCAGATGGCTTCCCAGGGAAATTCTACCACACATTTAAAGAAGAACTAATTCCTATTCTCCTGAAACTGTTCCAAAAAATAGAAATGGAAGGAAAACTTCCAAACTCATTTTATGAGGCCAGCATCACCTTGATCCCAAAACCAGACAAGGATCCCATCAAAAAAGAGAACTACAGACCAATATCCTTGATGAACACAGATGCGAAAATTCTCACCAAAATACTAGCCAATAGGATTCAACAGGACATTAAAAGGATTATTCACCATGACCAAGTGGGATTTATTCCAGGGCTGCAAGGTTGGTTCAACATCTGCAAATCAATCAATGTGATGCAACACATTAATAAAAGAAAGAACAAGAACCATATGATCCTCTCACTAGATGCTGAAAAAGCATTTGACAAAGTACAGCATCCCTTCCTGATCAAAACTCTTCAAAATGTAGGGATAGAGGGCACATACCTCCATATTATCAAAGCCATCTATGAAAAACCCACCGCAAATATCATTCTCAATGGAGAAAAACTGAAAGCTTTTCCGCTAAGGTCAGGAACACGGCAGGGATGTCCGTTATCACCACTGCTATTCAACATAGTACTAGAAGTCCTAGCCTCAGCAATCAGACAACAAAGGGAAATTAAAGGCATCCAAATCGGCAAAGAAGAAGTCAAACTAACACTCTTCGCAGATGATATGATACTATATGTGGAAAACCCAAAAGACTCCACTCCAAAAGTGCTAGAACTTGTACAGGAATTCAGTAAAGTGTCAGGATATAAAATCAATGCACAGAAATCAGTTGCATTTCTCTACACCAACAACAAGCCAGAAGAAAGAGAAATTAAGGAGTCAATCCCATCTACAATTGCACCCAAAACTATAAGATACCTAGGAATAAACCTAACCAAAGAGGCTAAGAATCTATACTCAGAAAACTATAAAGTACTCATGAAAGAAATTGAGGAAGACACAAAGAAATGGAAAAATGTTCCATGCTCCTGGATTGGAAGAATAAACATTGTGAAAATGTCTATGCTGCCTAAAGCAATCTACACATTTAATGCAATTCCTATCAAAATACCATCCATTTTTTTTCAAAGAAATGGAACAAATAATCCTAAAATTTATATGGAACCAGAAAAGACCTCGAATAGCCAAAGGAATATTGAAAAAGAAAGCCAAAGTTGGTGGCATCACAATTCCGGACTTCAAGATCTATTCCAAAGCTGTCATCATCAAGACAGCATGGTACTGGCACAAAAACAGACACATAGATCAATGGAACAGAATAGAGAGCCCAGAAATAGACCCTCAACTCTATGGCCAATCATCTTTGACAAAGCAGGAAAGAATGTCCAATGGAAAAAAGACAGCCTCTTCAATAAATGGTGTTGGGAAAATTGGATAGCCACATGCAGAAAAATGAAATTGGACCATTTCCTTATACCACACAGGAAAATAGACTCAAAATGGATGAAGGACCTCAATGTGAGAAAGGAATCCATCAAAATCCTTGAGGAGAACACAGGCAGCAACCTCTTTGACCGCAGCCGCAACAACATCTTCCTAGTTACATCGCCAAAGGCAAGGGAAGTAAGGGCAAAAATGAACTATTGGGATTTTATCAAGATCAAAAGCTTTTGCACAGCAAAGGAAACAGTTAACAAACCAAAAGACAACTGACAGAATGGGAGAAGATATTTGCAAACGACATATCAGATAAAGGACTAGTGTCCAAAATCTATAAAGAACTTAGCAAACTCAACACCCAAAGAACAAATAACCCAATCAAGAAATGGGCAGAAGACATGAACAGACATTTCTGCAAAGAAGACATCCAGATGGCCAACAGACACATGAAAAATTGCTCCACATCACTCAGCATCAGGGAAATACAAATCAAAACCACAATGAGATATCACCTCACACCAGTCAGAATGGCTAAAATTAACAAGTCAGGAAATGATAGATGCTGGTGAGGATGCGGAGAAAGGGGAACCCTCCTACACTGTTGGTGGGAATGCAAGCTGGTGCAACCACTCTGGAAAACTGCATGGAGGTTCCTCAAAATGTTGAAAATAGAACTACCCTATGACCCAGCAATTGCACTACTGGGTATTTACCCTAAAGATACAAACGTAGTGATCCGAAGGGGCACGTGCACCCGAATGTTTATAGCAGCAATGTCTACAATAGCCAAACTATGGAAAGAACCTAGATGTCCATCAACAGATGAATGGATAAAGATGATGTGGTATATATACACAGTGGAAAACTACGCAGCCATCAAAAGAAATGAAGTCTTGCCATTTGCAATGACATGGATGGAACTAGATGGTATTATGCTGAACGAAATAAGTCAATCAGAGAAAGACAATCATCATATGATCTCCCTAATATGAGGAATTTGAGAGGCAACATGGGGGGTTTGGGAGGTAGAGAAGGAAAAAATGAAACAAGATGGGATCAGGAGGGAGATAAACCATAAGAGACTCAAAACAAACTGAGGGTTGCCAGGGGGAGGGGGCAGGGAGAGGGCAGTTGGCTTATAGACATTGGGGAGGGTATATGCTATAGTGAGTGGTGTGAAGTGTGTAAGCCTGACGATTCACAGACCTGTACCCCTGGGGCTAATAATATATTATATATTAATAAAAAATTAAAAATTTTAAAAAAAAAAGGAAATTGGTCATGGTTTATAGGGATATGTAAGGAACCACCTCTCCCAACTAACTAATGAAAGTTCTTTATTTAGTCTCTGAATCTCTACAAGGACGGCTTAGAAATTTCAGGTGATGCCACTGCAAACAAACACGGATAGAGCTTTAACAACCCCATGGCGGGGTCAAGGTCATCAGACAAGAGCCAGGAGACCAGGTGTGCCCAACAGAGTCAGGAGTTAGAGTCCATACTCTCTGTGCACGTGTTTGCACGACAGGCTCAAAGAGGCAGGCAGAATGTCTGCCAGCTAAAGCAGTCTACTGGTGCCCAGGACCCTCTGGGAAGATTTTGTAGACAACAAGAGACGCTACAGAGCCAAGAGTCGTAACAAGCAAAAGTCATCAGAGGATATAAGAGCAATCTACAAATTTAATAATCTGGAAAATGCCTGTGATTGCAGCTGGATTCGTGTCAGAACCAATGAGATAAGAAGTTCCATGGAGTCAGCCCGGGGCACTGTTCTGTCCCCAAGTCTTATTCCTTTCACAGTTAGGCCCTGATTTTCAGTTTCCTGAACCTGCTGACTCATGGGAGCACTGGGGCTGGTGGGTCACTGAAAATGACTGCGGGATGAAAAAAAAAAAAAATGGGTGCCTTGAGACAAGATTCAGCTTGGAGTAGTGAAAAAGGCAGAAAAAAGCATGCAGGAAGATTCTAAAACTCAGATCTTTGTGAAAACAGCCAGAAGTGGTATTTTGCCAAATAAAGACATTGCAGCGGTCCACATCCAACTATTAATGCTCACCAGTAACTAATAACCATTAAACTTTTTAACTCAATTTTTTATGAAAATGTGAAGTTAAAACCCTATGACAAACGACATGAAGTAAGTATATTCTTAGGTTATTTTCTGTAAAACATTATAAATAGAAGGATTGACGGTAGTCATGAGGAAATGCAGCCACGGAAGTGCTTGAAATGTCCACTGTTTTTAATGGAATAAATTCATCAAACAAATCGTAAAGTTAAACTATTGGTAAAAAAAGTTATAGCTAATGAACTCAACTAAAAACATATTAGAATAAATGGTGTGAAAATGATTTTTGTGAATTAATCGACATAACATTTTAAATGGAGTTCAAGTTGAGTTCATCTTAAATTTTATGAGTCATTAAACCCTGTGGCATTTTCTATTTTCTTAACATTAGCTTAAATGCTGAAGATTAGAGTTTAAAACCCTGAAAGCTGGAGAAATCATGCAAATGTGACATTTGAAAGGGAAATCACTTTTTTTTTTTTTTCACTCTCGTAGATATTAGAAGAAGTTTGTCAGAAAAACAACTGGGGACAACCAGTGTATCAGCTGCACTCGGCCATTGGACAAGATCAAAGACAACTTTTCTTATACAAAATAACCATTCCTGCCCTGGCCAGCCAGAATCCTGCAATGTGGGTAACATCTCCAAATTCCTAATCTTTAACGCTTTTTAGAATAAGAGTCTCTTGTAGATCAAGTGTATTTTATCACTACCCCAATAAGCAAAACACTTGGGTCTACTGCTTGCTCGTGTTTCATTAAACACAAACGCTGAGATGTGTAGTTGGGACGTACGTGCCCAGGGGCGTCTGACATCTCAGAGGCCCTGAATTTCACACAATATAGACTGTGCAGTGTAAGCAACCAGTAAAAAAGTGCAGACATAAAATGCAACAGGAATCGGAACTAGAGTCCATTCTTTTATCTGCGTAGTATTTAGATTGAACCATATGAAATTGCCATTTTATCCATGACCACAGCCTATGCGAGGTCACTTACATTTTGGATCAAAGTCCTCTCTGTGGGTGAGTATTGCCGCCTGGAGCCTGACTGGGTACACGTTTTAGAAACCATCCTGTTTCACGTGTACCTTAGAAAAGCCATGTGGTGAGTTCCAGGTGTGCTCCAGGAATGTCCTCTCAGCCCCCGCTGTCGTCCGCGCATACACCTGTAGAGGTCTTCAATGCAAAGAGAATGAAAACCACGCGGATAAAATTCCATCATCTGCAGCTCTTAGCCCGCGAACAGCGACTTGGGTTTTGTCCCATCTCAGCACCTCAAAGGTAACGCCTGACTCTGCCTTGCAGCCACCCCTTCACGCCTCCGAAGCTCAGTGCTTACGTGGATGAAGCAAGGACCTACGCGGCCGAGTACACCCTGCAGACGCTGGGCATTCCCACCGACGCGGCCGATGCCCCCACCGCGGCGGCTGCCGCCACCGCCTTCCCAGGTGGGGAACATGGCACCCTGCCCGGGGTGTTTGAGAAACAGCCCCCCCACCCCGGTACCCTGAACTCTGAGAGTTTTTTTTTTTTAACTCAACCACAATAAATCCGGTTACACATTCTGTGACCAAACACACGGGGCAGATGCAGGAACCATCAAGGTAGGAGCTAAGAGTGAGCGGGGAGTAGAAGAGGGGTCTAGCCAGCTGCGTGACCTTGAAAGAACCAGTTTCTGTCCCTGGATGGGTGGGGTTTTGACTTTCTCGTTCAGAGAACTCGGAACTCCCTAGCAATAGTTGTTTATCTGCCTGCCAGGCATTTCCCTAAAAGCTCAGCGTAGTTAATTACGCCAGGAATAGTCTGACGCTGCAAGGAGTAGGCTGTAGCGTAATGGCTGGGTACAGCGGATGGAACCCAGGACAGGAATGATGAAGGAAAGGGGCCAAGTCAACTGGCTTTTAAGGAGTCCTGGAACTCGAATATTTGACTCAACCTGACTTTTATTGCTTTGCTTTCCGAAAGCAATGTGTAGATCACATTTTTCTTTTTTTTTTTTTTTTAAGATTTTATTTATTTATTTGAGAGAGAGAGAGAGAGAGCAAGCACAAGTGGGATGAGGGCCAGAGGGAGAAGCAGACCCCCTGCTGAACAGGGAGCCCAGTGTGGGACTGGATCCCGGCACTCTGGGATCATAACCTGAGCTGAAGGCAGACGCCCAACGACTGAACCACCCAGGCACCCTAGATCACGCATTTCTTAAATTGTTTTAAGTCAAAAACTGTGAGTATGAGAGAGACGGAGAGCTAGCAAGAACCTTTCAGTATGTAGATAATCAGCTTTCATTTATCTGTCCTATAATTTTGGACTGGAGCCTATGCTGTTTGTTCAGAATAAAGCCTCTCTGTAGATCGGCATGCCTTCAGGGTCCTATTTAAAAGGCTTTTCCCCATTTGTTATGTACCTACAACAAATGCTAATAATTTAAAAAATGAACCCTCTAGAGATTAAAAGTGACCAGATAAGAAATTTGTTTTGTAGATCCTTCCTTAGCAGTTAGCTTGAATAATCCCATTCTTTTTTAGCAACCAAAGTTCATTTCTTTTGAAGACATTGGTCACTTCAACTTGTCACTATGTCAACGGACCTCCCTTAAGACGAATTCAAAGATCTGGCTGGACCCAGACACAGGGCGTTTCTTTCAGTCCATTCTGTCATGTGCTGGTCACGTTCAGGCATGAGAACTGCTGTATTCCTCTCATCTGTAATACCTGGGCTCACTCTCACTTTCTTTTGTTTCTCAAAAACTGCAAATATGCTTTCCATCCTGGCAACTAAACACGTTTCACACATGAACACGACCTCAATTCCAGCTTTGTTCCAGAGAACATAGGGAGGATGGGTCGTGCGCCCCCAGGAGGTTACCAAGGCAACAGCTGCCACCACAGAGGGCAGGTCCCCTGGGCTGGACTGGGGCCATCAGTCCCAGGCTTGCTTTCCACAGAATGTGGTGTTGACATGTCCGTCTACTGGGGACCTATGCCAGGGTCTCTCGGTTCCTGGAGAAGGTTGAATCCCTGTCTCATGGAAAGCTGCTCCCCAAAGACAGCTAACTAATGTACTATAAAAATAAATGAGCCCCTGTCAGAATGTTACAGTTCGCTTGCACATTGGAAAGGATTCGCTTTCACCTAAGAATGTTTGATCTTGTCCTCTCTCCTGTTTGCTCCTGCAAGAAGTAGAAAATATTTAGGACATGAGAGTTGTTCTGGGAGTGCCTAAGAATTTGAGAGCCTCTCTTAAAACTTTGCTGTGGAGTCAAGCAAAGAATAATAGGTTCCAAGGGAAGAATCTGTTTAAAGTCCAAATACTCTTGCTCTTAAGAAAGTGGCCAAATTGAAAAAGAAAATTCAAAATTCCCAAAGATAAAATCCACATGACACACACACACATACACACACACTCTCGCACGTGGGTCTTTCTTACTCACTTATTTAGAAATACTCTTTCCAAAATCATGAAAGTAATTGGTAACACATTTCTCACATCCTTGGAAAACATACCAAACTTCAGTAGTGCGTTAGTCAACATTACTGGCCAAAGTGCCCAAGCCAACGAGTGGATTTAATTTTTTAAAATATAGTCCAGCCAGCTTCCTGCCACCACTTCCTGAGAAGCCACCAGAAAGAAATCAGTGTGTCTGGGCTTGGGATGACTGCCATGGCACATAATCCAAATGGATGGTTTTGTTGTTTTAAATCAGGACCCCATTGGTTGCTTAAGTAAATTTTTCCCCTTTTTCTTGTCATCTTCACACTTTTTGGATTATCTCAGAATTAGCTTAATTTTGATCTTAAACATTACCAGGGAAACATCGCTATTGTACAATAGCTGTTATGCCCTTTTCTCTAAAAGTGAATGTCCCTCGGCCACACATGATCCTAACGTGACCGCACATGGTGGCCTCCTTACCATGCAAAGCCCTACAGCTTGGTGGTGAAACAAGAAGTCCTGGCCCTTCACGGTTGGGTCTACATGAAAACAGACCAGGTATTTGCTTGCATGGTGCTATGCAGAAACACGTTAAAACTTTCCAAATTGTTCCTACTGGTCTACCCACTCCTTATATGTCTTCGGTAAAAGCAATGGTTTTTAACATTTCATTTAGGTGGGGGGCATGGGTCCAGCAGCAGACCCACAGAGCCCCACCCCTCAGCCCGGCCAACCCGTCAGTCACCTCCCCTCCATTATAAACTCTGAGATCCTCTGCAAAAGTTCTCAATCTCAAGCTTTAACCAACTTGGCATCCTCTTAAGTTTCCATGTCTTGGACTCTCTCCCCAGGGTTTCCAGTTTTCTAAGCATGAAGCAGTTCTGGTACACGCAGCTGACCTCACTTTGAGGCATGCTGTCCCCTAATCAAAGAGTCTAGGTATTAGGTCCCCTGAATTCACTTTTTAAAAACCTACATTTTAACTTTTGGCTCTAAGTGAGGTTAACTTTTGGTCTTCCCAAGAGAAGACAATAAAGCAGGAGGGAGCAAATGTGCATGGCTTCTGATAAAGTTTTCTCCACCTCCTCCTCCAGGATACGCTGTCCCCAGTGCAACGGTGCCCGTGTCCGCAGCCCAGCTCAAGCAAGCGGTGACCCTTGGACAGGATTTGGCAGCATATACAACGTATGAGGTCTACCCCACTTTTGCAGTGACTGCCCGAGGGGATGGATATGGAACCTTCTGAAGATAGCTTTAAGTTAAGAAATACACAGAACTCTATCCAGAAGAAATAAACCTCTCGCTCAGTTTCCTTATATGATCACAAGTCCTACTTTTCCTAAAGAGATGCCTTTCTGGAGACTGCTCAGCTTATGCTAATGGTAGAATCAAGACATGAGGACATATTCCTGGTGATATCAAGTATCAAGAAGCCTCTTGTCCACCAGAAAGCTTAAGAGCCATTGTCCCCAAAAGTTGGTTCTCCCAGGTTCCTGAGGGTATTGGGCGTGTGTTTATGCTCCCTGACAACGAGAAGAGAGGGTTTTTAACCAGCAAGTGTTCAGGGGCTGAGCCGACCCGGCCAGTCAGGAGCAACAAAGGGAGGCAAGCAAACTCCAGAGCCTTAACCCCAGCTCACAGTTCCTTCTGTGATACACAAAGTCATGACCAGGCAGCGGTAGGGTGAGAGGATGATTTTATAGAAATGCTTTCCCTGTTGCCCACCACATGGGGTATGTTCTCAGGCCCAAGTCTGTGAAAGACAGCCCAAGGTTTGATGGGGCCAGCATCACTTCCATCTGAAAATAACCCGTCAATCTGTCCTGGGTGTCCATCTCCCCGCCCTTTCCATCTCCCGGGGACCCCTCGGAAATCCATGTGATGTGTTGCAGATAAGAATAAAATTAGTCCAGACCCAGTGTTTATTAAACTTATCAGCCCACACCTCTCCTTCCCTGGACCCCCCTATCCTTCCGAAGCATCCCCCAACAGAGTAAGCACCCCAACTTAAAATGGACTCTTCTCCCTTTAAACATTTTGACTTTGTCCACTTGGATTTATTTTCACATCAGTCTCATTTTGATCATGTCAAATACCATAAAAATGTACACCCAACCTACAGGAATATCACTTAGAATGCTTTTTCCTATTCCACAAATGGGCTGAAAAGTCATTTCAAGGAAAGAAGTGAAGGTCTACTCTCATTTCTTTGGTGTTTTTGCCACACCCTGACCACCATCCAGCATTCAGAGACAGTTATCTTAGTGTGGGGTTGGCCTTGGATTGTCTAACCCACTCACAGTCAGTCTGCCAAGAAATCTACCTTCCCTTCCTTCCACTTTCCACGAGTATCAGATGGCTCTATCATATCTGAGCCTTTTGGTCTTGAAATGGACACAGAAAACCTTACAAACACACATCCTACTACTGATTAGAAGTGGACTCTTAGACACCCAGCAAGGGTGTTTGTGACCCAACTTCTCTAGATCTTTAGGCCTCTCGCCAGGAACATCTCATGGGGATTCCAGAGCTACAAAAAATGGGATAGAGGGAACAGAAGGCATTACTTTCTTGCCATACTTGTAAATGACCACTTTTTGCTCAAAATTAGAAATAATTGAGGTCTGAACTCCAAATACCTATCACCACTGCTTCTGTCTCTTTAGCAGCTTAAGACATACAGCACCAAAATTTCCAGTTTAAAAAAAAAAAAAATCCCTGTGCCCTGGTACAATTTTATAGGACTCAAAGGAAAACATAAACCCAAAGACAGAAAAATTTGTCAACTCTTGAACAGAATCCTGTGATCTGACATCAGCCCAGATTCCAGTCAAAATCAGCTAAATTTCAGTAACAATGAAAAGTCCCTCTAACCTTTCAGTTCTGTTAACTCCAATCAGACATCAAAGGCCTCGAAGCTATAGCTCACACTCTGAAAGGCTTGGTGCTTTTGGCTTTGCATGTTCCTCATAGTCCGTAGGCCAGTGGTTCCCAAACTTGGCTACACGTTAGGAACACCGGAAGGGCCTTTCAGACCACGAATGCCAAAATGGTGCCCAATCCCCACTACATGAGAATATCATGGGGCGGGAGCCTGGCCCCCGCGTTTAAAGATCTTAGATGATTTCAGAGTGTAGCTAACTTTGGGAATGGCTATAGTCTTTCTATTTCAATGCTCTCCCCTAATGTTTTCTTTATTTATTTTACTTGCATTAAATAGAAAAATGCAAAAAATAAAATTTGTCCAAGTTAAAACAGATAGTCAAATCATATTTTTATAAATATTCATCTCATTAAAAGTAGGGATTTGAATGTAATTCATATTGGCTTCAAACTAACTCTTGGCCCAAACTAATTCTAAAAATGAGAAAGTAAAAAATTCCTCTGTCAGCAATTCTTAAGGTCCAAATCAACGTTCCCCTACAGACCTGCTTTTATACTCAAAAATAGTAATGACATTGGGGCAGGCAAGTTCCTACTTAGTCCAAAAAAGCATTCCAAATTCCAAGAGCAAAAATTTTCATGTTCTTTAAAATCTTTGAAAATAGAAAACAGTGCTCTGAATGTCTAGCCAATGCCAAATGGAAGGTCTGATCCAGAAGAGTTTTAAATGTAAATCAGAATGAATAGTTAGTTAATACAGGAATGTTTTATGAGAAAAATCTTTATTCCAGATTAAATTATTATGATTTTTTTAAAAGGCTCAGAACAGAAACCTAAATATACAAAAACTGGCAAAGTGTCAAGAAAATTGCCCCCAGAACACCATCTCATTTCTTGCTTAGGGAAACACAAGTATTTGTACATTTACCTCCTAAGGACTGATTTTATTCAAGTGAGTAGATGTGGTTTTACTCTATTAAAATCTAGAGAATACTTTGAATTCCATTAGAACATATTCATAGAAAGTATCAATGTGTCTACTGTGCCATCTGTATTTACTTTGCCCAAATTAAGTACTGTAGGGCAACTACACAGCTCTACAACTCAGGATACAGCTATACTGAGTGTGAAACTTTTAAAAAATGGGATTTTTAAAAATCATGTGTAAAACCAAAAGTTTATTTTGCCTGATGTTTATATTTTTAGACTTTGGAAATTAGCACCTACTTATGACCTATTATATCTTGCGCATCAACCTCTATTTTTTTGTTATTTGTTACTTCATTGTTTCTTAGGAAAAAAAACTCTTTATATAAAGAGGAAATTTAAAATGAGTCAACCAACCAAGTGATAACAGAATACCCAAATCAAAAATTTAGAAGCATCCAGCAAGTTAGAATGGAGTTTCTAAGTTTCGGTAATTAACAGCTTAGTGAACATTAAAATCAACCACTGTTACTTAGGAAGAAATGGACAAGCAGTGAGACTGGACATCTATCTTCGTACCTGTAAAAATGCTGTCTGTTCTCAAATTCCTATACTTCTCTCCCAGCCCATTACTGTAGCTAGAAGACCACCTTTAGCTGTAACAAAGTGACCATTCCCCTACATAGCTAGTTTTCTCCTCCTACTCCTGCCCAATCCTGGTATCATGCCAAACCACACTGTGTTTGGATAAAAACACCCAAAGTGCTGCTAGAAAGCTACCTCGTGTGAAGAAAATACTGACTTCAATACATATCTAACAAACCAGAATTCCTTAACTTTTTAATGGTGGATGGAAAGCACAGTATAGCTATGTATAGATAATAATTGCTTGGAAAGTTAGTTTTAGTTTTATACAAAAGTTTTAAGAAATACACATTCCTCTGATCACATAGATTAGCTTTTCATATATATTGCCTCAATATAATTTTCAATTTATGCTGTTTTCACTGTATTTTTCAATGACTGTTTTATAGCTCTGCCTTGGACAACTGAGTCACGATTTGAATCCATGGAGGACAGGGGATTCTCTAGGGTGCCTTTTTAAGAATGAGGGTTAGTAAAGAAAGTTATTTTGAGTAAATTGTCTTTCCAAAGCTACAAAGTTTGATAAAATCTATTATTGCTGTCCAACTCCAGGCCTATCCAAGATTTCGCAAAAGTAACTTACAACTAAAAGTGAAGAATGTGTCCCAGGATACACAGGAGGCTATGATCTCTTATCCCCTTTCTTGCATTCACACAGAAATTCCCAGGAGATGAAATGTACCTACAACTTAACCTGGAGATTCGGTACTTTTTATATCTTATGGATACGTTTTTACCTATTGTAGATGCATCTGTCCAAGATGAAACTTAAGTTTCAAAGGTGACACCTTAAGTGAACTTTGTGATAAATTTTTTTGTTTGTTTTTAAAGATTTTATTTATTTATTTGACAGAGAGAGATCACAAGTAGGCAGAGAGGCAGGCAGAGAGAGGAAGGGAAGCAGGCTCTCTGCCTAGCAGAGAGCCCGATCAGATCCAGGGCTCAATCCCAGGACCCCGGGACAATGACCTGAGCTGAAGGCAGAGGCTTTAACCCACTGAGCCACCCAGGTGCCCCTGTGATAAATACTTTTAAAAGAAAATATTAATAGCAAAATTTAATGTACTTATTGGAAAACAAGAGAAAGTAGGAAATCAATATTCCTACTTGATGGGTAATAGTTATATGTTTCATTAACATGATCATCAGATTTGAAGCTGAGATTTTACTTCATTCTGGTGATGTCTTGAAAATGCTTCAGGCTTTGCAAGAACATAGCCATAGAAATGTAATGTACCCACCAGGATATATGTTTATATTTGCCAACATTAGAACAAAGCAAAGCCAATGAGTAAAACCATAAGAAAAATGAGATTTTCTGACCCCCATGCCCTATCACTTTACTTACAGAGTGAAACATTTTTTAAAAATTTCATTCAGTAAAAACATGGATACAGAATATTCTATAGTTCCCAAAATGCCCATTTTAAAAAGCCATCTAGTTCGTACAGTGTTTATACGGAAAGCAAAATATGTGAGTTTAATAGGGACAGCAGTACATGCCTTGAACAGACAGGCTCATTTATGGGAGAACGCAAACTTTATGCATCCCCAGGTCACCTCCGTTCTGTAGGAAAGTTAAAGAAAACATTAAACTTCACCTAATAGTGAAGAGAAATTAGTAACCCATAGAGAAGTGAAAAATAATTCACTTATTTTTCTGGAAATGTGCCTGGAATGAAATCTAGAACACTTCTGCATCTCCCCCTCTCACTTTTCTCCTATTGAATATGCCTTGTTCACTTTTCACAATTGTTACTTTGTCTAAGGGGAGGGGAGATGCCAAGAAACCATGCTTTAAAGAAGGTAAGCTCCTGGACGGAACTTCTTGGAGCCTGAAGAATGTCAACCCCACCCAGGGTTCAGCAGCCTCT